TGAGCCACCATGCCTCTCCATTTCTTGCATCTTGATGATGGTCATGATGATGGTGGTGGCTTTGTCTCTCTCCTACAGAGCTTCCTTCTGACGGGAGGACCAGCCCCAGGGAGCCAGCAGGACCCCAGATCCTCTCTTCTGGACCTAAATGAGCCCCTGGGTGAGTAATATCCTCAGCATCCAGAAGGCCTGGGTCCCCTCTCCCCTGGGAGGTGCCTTGATGGTTGACGGATGGAGGCCTCCCAAAGGTGAGATGGGGTGAGGACTGTCAGTGCCCAGAGGTGACCCTGGTGGAAATGGCAGCCCCTCCCTCCTCTCATGGGCACTGTGTGGGGAAAGAAAGACCCTAAAGGAGGCAGGGGCTTGCCACAGCTGCCCTGTGAGGTAGAAGCCAAGCCCAGGCCCCAGCCTAGTTCTCCTGAGCCTGCATATGATTATACTTGGCAGATTTACCAAATTGGGATCGAGTCCCACCATGGCCACCCCCAGCTGTGTGACTTTGGAAAAGCTTTTTCTTTTTCTTTTCTTTCTTTTTTTTTTTTTTGAGTTGGAGTCTCACTCTATCATCTAGGCTGAAGTACAGTGGCACGCCCACGGCCACCACAGCCTCGACCTGCTGGGCTATGCCGATCCATCCACCTCAGCCTTCCAAGTAGCTAGAACCATAGGCGTGCACCACCACACCTGGCTAATTTTTTGATTTAGTGTAGAGACAAGGTCTTGCCTTGTGGCCCAGGCTGCTCTCGAAACCCTGGACTCAGGCAATCCTCTTGCCTCCACCTCCCAAAGTGCTGGGATTACAGAAGAGAGCCACCACGCCCAACATTTTACACTCTTTTTTTTTTTCCTGAGTTAGAGGCCTCACTCTGTTGCCCAGGCTGGAGTGCAGTGGCATGATCACAGACCACCACAGCCTCGAGCTCCTGTGTTCAAGCAATCCTCCCACTTCACCCTCCCAAGTAGCTGGGATTACAGGTGTACACCATCACACCTGGCTAATTTTTAAATTTATTGTGGAGATGAGGTCTCACTGTATTGCCCTGGCTGGTCTCGAACTCCTGGGCTCAAGGTAATCCGTCCACCTCAGTTTCCCAAAGTGCTGGGATTACAGGCATACGCTACCGTGCCTGGCCTAAAGTTTATATTTCTGAACCTTGGGTTTCCTGCCTTTGTAGACTGGGGTCTATTGTAGTAGTTCTTCACCTTAAAGAGATGTTTTGAGGACTCATGGAGATGTTGCATGGAAGGAGCTTAGCCCAAGATCTGTTATGCAGTCAGAGTTCAAGAAATGTCCACCCTTGTAGCTATAGTGGCCATGCTGGTTCTGACAGCCCCTCCACAGAGCACAAACAAGCCCCTGTTCTTGTCTTCCACTGCATCTATCGAAGGTCATAACGTGGCTATGCATGGTGGCTCACGCCTATAATCCTAGCACTTTGGGAGGTAGAGGTGAGAGGATTGCCTGAGCCCAGGGGTTCGAGACCAACCTGGGCAACTTGGTGAGACCTCATCTCTACAATAAATAAAAAAGATTAGCCAGGTATGGTGGAGTGCACCTGTGGTTACAGCTTCTTGAAAGGCTAAGGCAGAAGGATCGCCTGAGCCCAGTAGGTTGAGGCTGTAGTAGCCATGAGCATGCCACTGCACTCCAGCCTGGGCGACAGAGTGAGACACTTACTCAAAAAAAGAAAGTCGTAGCTCCACATGAAACCTCCAGATATCAGCCAGAGGAATCTTCCAAAGAATGAATCTGACCCTGAACCTCCTCTGCTTAAAACCCTGCCATGGCTCCATAGTGCCCTTCTGAGAAAGACCAAGCTCCTCACCTTGGACTTCAATCCCTGCAGGGTCTTTCAGCCACAGTCACTGTGGCTTATTTTGGTTTATTCCTTCCTTCGTGCATGTAACAAATATTTATAGAGTACACAGTAAGTGCCAGACACTGTTCTGGGTGATGGAGACACACTGTGAACAGAACACACATAAGTCTCTGCCCTCATAGAGCTGACATTCTAGTGTGACAGACTATGACAAAGAAACCAGTGCAAGAAAGAGTGCAAGAGGGCTGGACATGGTGGCTCACACCTGTAATCCCAGCATTTTGGGAGGCCAAGGTGGGAGGATCACTTGAGAACAGGAGTTTGAGACCAGACTGGGCAATATAGCAAGAACCTGTTTTTTAAAAAAAAAATTTTTTTTTTTTAAATTAGCTGGGCGTGATGGTACCCTCCTGTAGTCCCAGCTACTCAGGACGCTGAGGCAGGAAGCTTGCTGGAGTCCAGGAGTTGGAGGATACAGTGAGCTATGGCTGTGCCACTGCACTGCAGCCTGGGAGACAGAGTGAGACCCCAACTCTCTAAAAAAAAGTGCAGGCTTTTTTTTACAGTGATGAGTGACTCATCTCTGTAATCCCAGCACTTTGGCAGGCTGAGGTGGGAGGATTGCTTGAGCCCAGGAATTTAAGGCCAGCCTAGGCACCATCTCTACAAAAAATTTAAAAATTACTGGGTGTGATGGCATGTGCCTAGATTCCAGCTACGGAGGATCATTTGAGTCCAGGAGTTAAAAGTTACAGTGAGCTATGATCAAGCCACTTGTACTCCAACCTGAGCAACAGAGCAAAACCCCAACTTAAAAAAAAGTTTATTTAGAAAGTAAATGAGAGAGAGAAAGAGGAGATTCACCTCCCCAAGGTCGGGGAGGGGGCCAAAGCCAGGAAACATGGCCCAGCCATAGCTCAAAAAGCACATGGTCACACCATAGCTTAGTAAGGCAATGGCCACAGTGGCCTGGCAATGGCCGTGGCAATGGCCTGGCAAAGGCCTGGCGATGACCTGGCAATGGCAAAACCTCAACTCTTTTAAAAAAAAGTGCAAGAGATGAAAATAAGCACTGCTGGGGAAAATAATGCATGCCAGAAGAAAAACAGTTCTGAGGTGGGGGACTTCAGTTTTAAATAGTAGAATCGAGGTGGCCTCATTGAGAAGGTGATAGTTGAGCAAAGACCTGAAGGAGTGAACCCGGATGACGTCCGGGGGAAGAGTGTTCCAGGCCGAGGAAACATCAAGTGCAAAGGCTCTTAGATGTGAGTGTATCAGGTCTTACTTGGGAAAAGCAAGGCCAGTGTGCCTGAAGCAGAGGGAAGAGGGGCAGATTGCAGAAGCCTCTGTAGGGCATTATGATGACTTTAGAGTTGTCTTGCTCAAGGAGGCCTCCTCAGGGCCTTTGCATATTCTGATTCCTCTGTCTGGAATGCGTTTTCTTCTATTCTTACCAAATTACCACTTTTTATTATTTATTTAGATTTGGAGTCTCGCTCTGTCACCCAGGCTAGAGTACAGTGGCATGCTGACAGCTACTGTAGCCCCACCCTCTTGTGCTCAGGAGATCCTTCCACCTCAGCCTTCCAAGTAACTGGAAACACAGGCACGTACCACTGTGCCCAGCTAGTTTTTTGATTTATTGTAGAGATGAGGTGTCACCAAGTTGCCCAGGCTGGTCTCGAATCCCTGGGCTCAGACAGTCCTCTTGCTTCTGCCTCCCAAAACACTAGGATTGTAGGCGTGAGCCACCACCAGGTCAACCACATTCTTTTTTTTTTTTGAGCTGGAGTCTCACTCTGTCACCCAGACTGGAGTGCAGAGGCCGCTCCCGGCCACCGCAGCCT